GATGAGTTTAGGAGGAACGCAGGTTAGAATGGGTAGGAGGGAATAAGAAAAATTGATGCTTAGGAAAAGAATGATGATAAAGTTTAGGTGAGTAACGGAAGAAGTGTGATGATTTCATGGTAGTACTAGGCATGTTACTCACCTACAACAGAACGGGTACAGCACAACTGCGGAATTCTGCAAAACTCCGCTCTCCTCCCCCCCTTCGTTGCGTACGGCACCGGTTTCTTGCACGACACGTACGCACATTGCGCACCAAGCCACCACAAATCCACCACCCCCATTTCCTGCACGGGCAACGTTGCCCAATTTTTCTGGCACGTCGCCAACTGCTTCCTGTCTCTGCCGATACGAAACAGTGTTGCCAGAAATGGGAGACGCCTCATTGGGGCGCAAAGCGCACAGGCCGAGCCGAGCCGTGCCGAGCCGAGTTTTAGTAATTGCCGGAACTGGAGCTGAACTGATTTATACCGAGCTAAGGCTCGCTTATATAACAAAACAATCGCCACACCTTCATGATAAACAAGGGGTGATAAACAAGGGCCAGGTAAAGCCGAGTTGTCACAACAAGGTAAACTGGCCCCGTTACAAAGGACCGGCACTGCTTCTCGGAACATCTGGAGGCCATGCGAGTATCCATCTAGTTCGCAACACCAACAGCCTCATTAATCTATCCAAAAACGGATGTTCATGATATTTTAAACACTTCCATTTACGGTTGAGGGGAACACCTTGACCCTTATACATATACGGCCTGACTTCGATTGAATATATTGTATTTTGCCCCCCAACCAGCTCGCACGTTCTTTCATAATCCTTCCCCAGAATAAAGCAAATATGGAAAAAACATTTTGCGCATTTTAGTTGCCGAAAGATGCTATGCATTAATGAATGGTGTTGATAAAAAAAAAATAAATATCGGCACGCACCAGGGCAGCCGGTGCGAATATGCGTTTTGTGAATTTCGTCCACCGAACGATTGCCCACTAACGATTTCTACTCCTCTGAATTTAAATTTGAGAGGTTGCACGTAGGCAGGGAACGGTTTCTGAAAATTTCAGCTTCCTAGATCCCGTGGTTCCCGAGGTAATAATTTACTCGCCAAAAGTTCCACGGAGCGGCTGGTGATCCCCGAGAGCGACGACGCTGAATTTGAATTTGCGAGGTCGTACGTGGACAGAGGGCCATTACCCTAAGATTTTAGTTCCCTAGTTTCCGTAGCTCTCGACATAGTAATTTTTCCCGCTAAAACTATTACGGGGATCTGCGTGTTACCCGCGGGTACGGGAAGAATGAACTTAAATTTTCTGGATAGCGTGAGGGTAACGGACATACCGATGAAATTTTAGCTTGCTAGCTTCCGCGGTCCCTGAGATAGTAATTTTCCCCGTAAAAACTTTTACGGGGCCGTACGTGTTACCCGCAGGCACGGAAAGGCTGAATTTAAATCTGCGGTATCACAGGTAGATGGGGAACATTCCCCTAAATTTTCAGCTTCCCAGCTTCTGTAGTCCCCGAGTTGAAAGTTGCGGACAAGTTGCTGCGAACATACACACACAAACAGACAACTCGGTGACAACATGCGCTTTGTATTGCTGTTATACAACACAAAAACGCATAAAAAGACAAACGATCTTGTCTCCCTGGAAAACCCCCAGAGCGTAGGGATGCACATGCAGCACAGATTTCAAAAACATACTACAAAAAAGCAATAAACAACACCTGACAGAGCTGCGTTCTAAATGTGACTAAGCCTCAGTGATATCGACTATTTCAGGCCAATTCTATGGACAAATATTTTGGTAAAATAAACGGTGGTGGAGAGGACTTATATCAAACGCTGCACTGTCTTATACAACCCGTGTAGAAACAAAATGACAACTTATCAATGATATACATCCACCAACTGCGTTGAAATTCGCGGCGTTGCCGGTTCAGCGCTTGCACTAGACGCTTCTCGATGATTGCAAGTAGTTGCAGCATTGATGTATAACTTAAAAATCTTGCAATAAAGGCTGAGAATAAAAACGAAGTAAAAATTGACTTATAAGAAACATAAACTCCGCTACATGAGCCACTGGAAACGGCGACTGATTAATACATTCGTATAAAAAAAAAATTAGGGATCTGAGACGAAACGACTGCCTTCTTAAAGCCACCTACATAAAAAGCGACCGAATATGGCTTTACGAAAGAAATCAGCTGTGTTGCTGCTTCTGGTTTAAAACTGATACCTGCAAAGCAGCATCTGTTTGACCAGCGATAAAACGGATGAATGGGCGAAGATCGCCACGATTGGCTGCACTGAGAGTGTCATAATAGTCAGCCCGAGCTTCAACAGGGATTATGATAGGAGGGAAACCATTCAGCATCAATATTAAGTTCATTAGAAGGCGTGCTGTACGGCCATTTCCATCAATAAATGGGTGTATCGAAACCTGAAACGATCGGATCAATTTGTGTAATCACTTTAAGCTAAATTTCTCAACCGTTATCGACTTGCTTCTAAGCAACCCTCAAAAGAGGAAGCATCAAGAGCCCAGCGAATGGTTGCTGCTGGCACGTGCCTTCGTCCCTCATAGAAAGTGAATACTGGACTTTTGATATTTCAAGAAGGCTGAAGAAAAAAAAACTGCAGCTTTCCCAATAATCACTTAAAATTTCCTAAAATTTTGTCGAACATCACTCGGATTTCGCGAAAATTGTCTGAACGGTAGAACGCCTTACAATAATGAAGCCGCGAACCGAATGCAGCCTTTTCTCTCCCTTTCTCGCGCTGAGCTGCCAATTTTCAGTTTTCACTTGCTGCGATTTTTACCTGCTACGCATCATAGTGTCAAAAGCAATGCAACTAGTATTTCCTGTCCTGTTGGCACTCGCTGTTACATCAACAGTCATCGGTAAAGTAAACAGCTTCGCTAACGAATTTTTTATGTTTTAATGAAAGGTTTCAGATAACATGCGGAAGCAAAACGCTGCTCCATCATGGTTAATGCAATGAGGTATAGGAGATACGCGGGTACTGTAAATGTGAGCAAGCCCTGCACAAATACGGACAAACACGGTAATTACGAGAACTTGGCTCAGCTCAGCCGGATTGATGCATGAATCGCAAAAACTGCTGTTGGTAACGGGAAATGACATCCCCGAGAGCAAGGTTGCGTAGTCTTGGGGAGTGGTTAACGATTGGAGAGGACCCTATGGTGCGGGTTTTGACCGCAGGGGTTTAGTATACAGAGTGAGGCAGGAAAAGGTCACTGCAGAAGCTTGTTTCGACCGCCCAACATGCACTCCTTTGTAGGTATGGTGTTCCCTCAAGCATTGACTTCCGTAAATTTGGGAGTGATATGCAGGAGAGAGGGGCGGTATGTGCGGATCCGGGAAGCAAAGGCTCAGGGAGAGGAGAGGCTGGGACTGACAAGTACTAAGCTCAGCTGAGCCGCATAATACGAACTCGTTTGTGGGTTTGGTGGCTGCGTGACGTAGATTTGAAAAGTGATAGGTGGAAATAAATAGCGGCACGCACCAGATCAGCCGATGCGACCTGCATTTTGTGCAATTTCGTCCACCGAACAACTGCCTGCTAATGATTTTCACTGCTTCGCATTTTGGTCTGCGCAAAAATAGTTGAAATATCTGTTTTCTAAATTGCGGGATTTCCCACTAAAAATTTCACGCGTCGGCACGTGAAAGCTGGATTTGAAACCTCAAAGAGTGAATATCCTTCTAAAATTTCAACCGCCTAATTTTCTGGCTTTCGACTGATTTTAGCGACAAAACTTTCACACGAGATCTCGGCATAATTCGGAATTGAATTCAAGTTCGTGAAGCCTCTGCTTAGATCGGAAACACCTCCTGAAATTTTCAGCTTCCTAGTTCTTCTGGCTCCCGAGATAATGATTTTTTCTATAAAAACTTTCACGGGAACGTTGAAAAATTGCGGGATCATATGTGGGCAAGGGATGCTAGCTACATTAAAATTTCAGCTTTCCAGCTTTTGCAGCTCACGAGATAATAATTTCCCTACCAAAACCTTCACGAGGCTGTACGTGGTACCCAGGGGTGCGTAAAGACTGAGTCCAAATTTGCGGGGCCGTACGTTGGTAGAGAACATCACTATGAAATTTCAGATACCCCAGTTCCGCGGTCCCGAGACAACAATTTTTCCCACCGAAACTTTCACGAGGCCGTAAGTGATACTCGGGCATGCGAGAAGGCTGAATTTAAATTTGCGGGATTGTATGTGGGCGGGGGATATTGCCGTAAAATTTCAACTCCCTGGCTTTTATGGTTCCCGAAATAATAAGTTACCCGCCGAAATTTTCACAGGGCCGCAGGTGATACTCGAAAGCATGTGAAAGGTGAAATTGAATTTGTGAGACCTCACGTGGACAGGGGGTCATTATCCTAAAATTTTGGCTTCCTAGATTCCGTGATCCCTGGGAAAATAATTTTACCCGCCAAAACTTTTACGGGGCCGTACGTGTTAGCCGCGGGTACGGGAAGGCTGAATTTAAATTTGCGGGGTCATACGTGGTGGGGAACACTGTATTAAAATTTCAGCCGCCTAGCTTTTATGGTTCCCGAGTTGAAAGTACGGGACAAAGTCTGGAACACACACACACACAGACAACTCAGTGACAATATGCGTTGTGTACTGCTGTTACACAGCACATAACGTTTAAAAAGCGAAAGTTTGGTGCTGCTTTGGGCCATGGAGACATGGGGTATGGGAAGGGCTGGAATATGGTTAACTGGCGAATACAGTTATGGGGGCGGGAAGGGGAAAGGCTGGAGAGGACTGACTGTTGCTTTGCAGGCAGGAACTAGAGGCAGGATAGTAAAGAACGAAGATACAAGTTAGAGGCTCGGAGGCAGGAAAGACTAAGGAGGAAAGCACAAAACAGCACAACAAAGGCGGGTAAGTTAAGGTAAAACTAAGCATATGAAAAAAGGGAGGAAAGACAAAAGCGAAGAAAAGTCTGAGTTTATGCAAACCGAAATTGTGTAAGAACCCGCCGTCAGCAGTGGACTTCCTTATTCATGACGCTCATGTAAAGGTGAGGCTGAAAACGAATAAGTTCGACTGGGTTTACACAAAAATTCCATACAATAATTCCAGTGTACTGCTTTCGGCAGTAAAAAAACGG